ACTAAGCTATCTCCCTGTCCCTGGGGGAGGTTTTGTTTCTTTTTGTTTTTTTGAGAGGGAGTCTCACTATATAGTTCAGGCTGGCCTTGAATTCACTTAGGTAGCCCAGGTTGGCCTCAAATTCATGACAATCTTCCTACCTCAACCTCCTGAGTTCTGGGATTACAGGTATGTACCACCAGGCTTGGCAGAGGTATGCACATTTTTAAGACTTTTAATGAATATATCAGATATTACCCTACAAAAAATTACAGATATTTAAACTGGTGGATATAAGAGTATCTATTTTCTAACTTGTTCATGAATCCTGGTTTAACTTTTTGTAATGCTGCCAGAGTTTTACTTTTTATTCTTTGATTACTTACAGCATTTTAAAAATATGTTTATTATTGGTATGTATTGATATTGTATTATAAATAAGTTGCCTTGTGTTCTTAGCCCATTTTACCATTGGGATACTCATTTTTTTTTTCCTTAATGAGATATAAAAGTTATTTAAGAGTGACTCACTTTTTTGGCTATCCTTGTGTAGCAGATAACTTTGAGGCAGTTTTTTTCTATGGTGTTTTAAAACATTTTTTTTTGGGCCAGGCAAATAGCTCAGTAGATTAAAGCGCCTGCAAGCAGGCATAGGGGCCAAGAGTTCAATCCCTGGGCCTGCTGTGGTGGCCCATGCCTGTAATCCCAGCCCTTGGGAAGCTGTAAACAGGAGAATCACTATGAGTCTGATCTAGTAGTGAGACCCTGAACACTCTGTAGACCCTTCCCTAAAATACAAAAATAATAATAACAATAATAAAAATTAAAATTAAAAGCCATTTTTTAAACTAGTACATTTTGCAGTACATCATGGGGAGTTAGTACATTTTGTATTTTTTAAAACTTGTTTGCATTCATCATGGGGAGTTAGTACGCATAGGTAACACATCTTGATTCTTTGTACATCCCTTTTCACTTCTCTCCCTCCCCTTAACTTTATGTATTGAATGATATAAGAATTTTGAGAAATGTTGAATGGAGAAGTATAGCACTCTTATTATGTAAACAGTAAGAAATACACCATTGTTGCACCATTCAAGATAATATCTTCTAAGGGAAAATCATTGCCAGCCAAATATTATAAATAAACTATGAGGTATATCTGTTTCTTTCTCTGTTTTGCCCATTTGGCCCAAAGAGCCTGGGTATAGTTAAACTTCGTAAAAAATTACATAGTGTTTTGGAAAGTCTTCTGGTATATTGTAGGAAAATTTAGGCTTTTAATTTTCCAACTTCAGGTGTAAAAAT